GGGCGCCCAAAGGAGGACTGCAAGGGCATTCATAGAGGATGCGGTTGGCCATCTGAACTTGAGCACTGCAGTTGCAGCCGGTGTCACTGGAAGGGCCCCAAGAGTGCATGCTTGCCTTAAGCTATCTAATGCCCGGTTTGAGATGGTTAAGAGCAGTCCAGGCCCTGCAGGGCAGCTGCCAGCCAGAGAGAGGGATCAGGTGCTAGGGATTACGTCTTTCGCTACAGATCGTGTGCAGCATATTGCCTGCTCAGCTGATGGGAGGTTCGTGCTGTGTGTGGATGTGGTGAGCTTATTGGCCTGAGAGGAGAACAGGTTCTGAGGCTTCAGGCGGCTGTTGGATTTGTGGCTTGTGGTTACTAGGTTGGAATGCAAAAAATGGTCCAGATCTCGAGCTTTTAGGCCTAGGGCTAGGGTAACAGCTTGTCTCTGGATCTCAGGGGGGGTTAATGCAGTCCTGAGTTGGAACAAGCAAGAACATGTGTCCTAGGATACAACCTCTCATTCCTCAAGGAGGCAGGCACTTTGAAATGAGTAAATTTGAGTCTGTAAACCAATTTTCCTGTGACGGCCATCAGACTGTGAGCAGAAGCTTGCTCCCTCTGGTCTTCCCCCCACTCAGATAGGGCATATGGAAGAATGAGGGGAGGGTTGCTCTTCTGTTCATATGGCAAATGCAACTCTTCTGAGACATCAGAGTTTACTCCTTTGCAGAGGGTTGCGGTTGGACTACCCTCTGTGGAACATACCTCTCACCAAAACCTACTTTTCCAGGTTTAGAGGCCAAGCTCTTGGTTCAGAAGAAGTGGCCTTTGAAGCACTAGGACCAGCAGCACAAACCCTGATGAATGGCACTCGCATGGGCCTAAGGTAACCTTTTAACCGTTAATTTATTTCAAGTGTCTGTGTATATTCCTAAATCTTAGGTTTACTTGGCTTCCAGGGCCATCAGGGCCTGCTGCAGACTGTCTCAGTAATTGCAGGTATGCCTTTGTAGGGTTTTCCTCCTGGTGGCAAGAGAAAAAAACATGGGCATCTTTTAAAGAGCTGCTGTACCTCACCCATGGTTCCTGCCTATGTGGGGCCAGCTCTGGTTTCCATCTCTTCCCCCATCAATGACATATTAGGCTTGAGAAACCAGCTATGGATAAAACGATAACAGTGTAATGTAGTTCATGTAGTTCTCTGCATGCGGCCTCTAGTGCGGATAGTGTTTCCCTGTTATTGGGCAAAGGATCCTAAAGCCCCAGAGATGGATCATTCAAATTGGACGACCCTGCTTGGAGAAATGCGAGCTTAAAAATGCCAACCATTGAAACGTTCATCTCTGAAAGAATGCCATTCATTTTGTGAAGTGGTCACACCTCTAGCAAATGCAAGGCTCACCTGCCAGTGAGGTCTGCCAGCCTTGCTATCACACAGCAGAAGAAACCGAAAGGCGAGAAAAAAATATCTCTGGCTGAACTAAGGACTTCGGTACTGAGCCTCAGGAACAAAGAAACACTTAAAGCTTCCTGTAACGGTGCTAGAATAGACCTATTCTGTTCAGTATCTGCACTGTCTTTCTTGACGAAACTGATGATCTATGGTCACTGAAGCAGTTAAAGGCACCTATACTGTTTTAATTGTCTGGTAATGACATTTGGAAGTACTATATTATTTAACTAGTTCTAGAGATTCTAAAGAGAATTTTTTTTTTCAGGTGCTGGCTTTTCCTCCCCTAAAATTGGATTGAATGATCATTTTTCAGTGTAAACAGCTATATCTGGTACATGGTACCTAGCGCTCTCTTTTTAAATAGAAACAATAGAAAGGTGTTTTCCTGGCAGAGGGCCATGAAAGCGCTCTTCTTTTAGATGACAGATTATCTTAGTGAACCATGAGATTTTTGAAGTAGTCCAGCCCTTTGCCCCAACTGTTTCTAGCATAGTCAATGGAAGCTTTATTGGTGACTTCGCTGCAAGCTGAGTTGAAGCTAACCCCAATGTATACATTGTACATCCCACCTGTTGAGGGAAACACTTTTCTTAGGCCCCCAGGCTGACAAGTTTCTTTAGGTAAATGCAATATCTTTTATTAAACCAACTAAATAGTTGGAAACAATTGTTCTTTGCAAGCTTTTGGGCACAAACATCCTTATGCCTAAAGAAAGGTGTTTATTCCCGAAAGCTTGCAAAGACTTTTTCCAAGCTATTTAGTTGGTCTAATAAAGGATATTGCATCTACCCAAAGACCCTCGTCTGCCTGTGTCCTTCAACCAACATGGCTACAACCAACACCTTCTTAGGCCCATGCAGTCATGCTCTGTTCTTGCATCTTGTTTCTTGCTTTTCGTTTTGACGTTACAAATGGAAAGTATGGAAAGGGGAGGAGAATTTTGCAATACCTGTTTCAGGTTCTCCACTTCAGCTATGTTTGTACTTCACTCAGTTTCCAGGTGTAAAAGCGCCCTGGATAATGGAAGGGCTTTTAATTTTCATAGGAACTCAAGCTCCACTAGTCCGTGCTTCATTGCCTTAAGTGTTGCAAACATCTCCTTGAATGGGAGGATAGGGAATCTCCGTGCTGAATACCAAAGCTCGTTCCTTCCCCTGCCCTAATTATTGATTAGCTTGTCACCTTTGTGCTAGCAGGTAGGGGAGTCCTCCGTATTGTGGCAAGAACACAGGTTCAGCTCAGTTAAGAGTGGGTCTTCAAAACAGTGCTTTTGCCTCATTTTTTGAACGTATTACAAAATTGCGTCACACTCTGATCACTGTAACACGTGCTACAGAACATAGATCCATTTAATACGCTATAGGGTGACATGGAGTCTAGAGAAACATGATCTGGGATGTCTCTAGGCCTTTTCACAACAGGTCACCAAACCTCTGAAAGCCTTTGTAGTAGGGTAAGGGAAAAGGAAGAAAAACAGTGTTGTTTATGAAACGCAAGTTCCAGATTTCATACGGTTCCCCCTGCATCCCCGTCCCCCCCTCCCCTCATTCCCCTGATTAAACCCACAGTAATTTTTCAAAGTTAATATGCATTCCCGCAGTCCCAAGTCAGTGCCAGCTGGTTCTGAAGTTTGGCAGCAAAGCATTTGAAAGTTTGTTTCCCATATTCAGTCTTCAGTTTCTCAAAGGTTACCAGATGAATGCTCCCTAAATAATTTAATCTAATGTAAGGCTGGAAGAGGCTAAGAAGACAAGTCCATTTGTCTCCTTTATGTATTTGAATATGTAAGTGATGTTTTCTTCTGTTTCAGGAAAAGGGTGTACATAAATGCGGCCAGCGGGGGGTGGGGGGAAGGAATAATGCTGAGCAATCTGGCTCTTTCATTGGGATGCCAAAAGGTTTTTTGTTACAGAAAATGTTATCTAGAATCATAATGGAAAACCAACTTCCCTGAATTTCCAGTTCAGATATGCTTTTCTGACCTCCTCTCTGGATTAAACTTAATTTTAATTTCTAAATAAATGAAACTCATTGTAAAATGATCTTGGTATTAAAAAAAATGTTAAAAGTATTTAAAATATTGAATTTGCTCAAGTGAGACATTGGAGTTTAGAAGTAAAATAAATAATATAATCAAGAACCGAAAAACATAGTTTTTTATAATTAACAGCTCATTTTGAGTTAATTATCTACAATTACCAAAATCTAATTGCAGTTTATTCTCTACTATCTGTGGGAAGAATTGTAGGCAAGGGAATCTGCATCATTGGCATGCATAAATGCTATAGGATTGGTACAAATAATAGACGAGCCCTTAATGAAAAACAAAAGCAAATAGGAGCGTGCAGCTGTGCCAAGCTATTGAAAGGTAATTGTAGTCAGAAATGAGGTATGTACTTTAAAAGGCATCTTGTCATCTCCTGTAGGGAATCATTTTTTACCTACTTGAAGAAAGGATTCCCAGAGCAAATACGGAACAGAGTTTGATTTCTGTCTCAGTTATTGGTAGCAATCTGCCTGTTTGTGAAAGGGGAAACTTTCACCTTGGGGAGTGCTTTAAATTATACCCAGCTTTTATAACCAGTATGCGTGCTTCCTTTTCTCTTCCCTGAGTGTCTCTTTACATTTTTGCTAATTATCAAAGTCTTTCAGCGAGTGTTGTCCATCCTGGCCTCTTCAGGTTGTCCTGATGTGAATTTGTAATGTTGAATTTGCTCAACTGCTGGGGAAGCTGGAGGAGGAGCTCATTTGGGAAGAAGTCTGTGCTTTTCCTGATATACAGATGGGCCATCTCTAGGCATCTGAAGAATCTGCTCTTCCCAGGGTCTCCAGTTTTCTGACACAGAGCAATCAGAGCAGGGTGTTACTGGAGATTAGTTTTCACCAGCTTCGAGTGCCCATAGGTGAGCCCGGAGCAGATCTTCAGCAGCAGACCGAGTCACTCGTACAATTAATGGCAAGTTGTTTGGTTGTTAGTGTAATTTCTTTTTTGCACTTGCCCCAGCGTGCGAGACACTTTAAAATATTCCGTATCCAAATGGACCCTGCTGCACTCGGTTAGCATAAAACAGCTTTTGGAAAAAAAAAACCCAAACCCCTTCCATCTCCCAGATGCAGATGCTTGCTACATGCTCAAGTACCCACTCCATGTGTATTCAGTAGGATCAATACACACAGCACCTGCTTTTGTGCACCCTCCTGACATCTGCATCTGGGAGAGGAGAATATTAAAACAACCCATGGTTCTCCCCTTTATCGAATTTTAACTGTGAAAGTAAATTTACATATCATGGAAACACGCGCTACTTAATAATACAGGGAAGACCTACTTATTCATAGATTGTAAGGGGCTGTATTAATATGGCCTGATCCTGTGTAAGCACCTCTCCTCTTCTTTGCTCTGCTGTGTACCTAAATCCGAACCCCACTGCTCCCTTCTGCGGTCCCCTACGCAGCATCTTTTTCCTTCCTGACACGCATCCCCCTGCATGCTCCTTTTCTGTGATCTCAAACCCCTCCACCTTCGCCCAGACCTGAACAGAATATTTTCTAGGGGTATCACTTGCCACGATGACCATCTTATGGCTTTGGTGTTATATGGCAGCCTTTTAATGCATGATAAGAGCCCTTTACGGGGCTTTCTTTCCTCCAGTGCTAGAGATTTTCCAGATGTAGTTTGCAACCTCTAATTTCAGCAGAGGCTTTTCTCATTTGTGTGCGGGGCTCTATACCACCCTTGTGTGTTTTTCCTGTCTTATATTTTTAGTTAGCTGGAAATGTCAAACACAGAATTTGATAGCACTTTCTCCCTATTTGAATGTTCGTTGTTATGGTGATCGTTCCAGGAGGGAGCACTATCAAGGGTCTTTTAGAGGATTTTATGTTTACAGTATAACTATTTTTATTACTTTGTAAGGGAAGGTGACGATTATCTTTTTGCTCCTGTTAAACACATATTATGAACTTGATGGTTTTTAGGGTTTTTTGAATTTTTATGCCCCTTTATTAGCTCTGCCAGTGCTACTCTTGCTTTTGTTCCCAAATTTCCAAGTTGGTTAAATGTAAATGCCGAGGAATATTGACGTTCAGCTCCCTCTGCTGTTCCAGGCCTGTGCTATTTATTCCCCTCCTTGTTTTATATTTAAAAAAAAAATCATATCCCATTCCACTAGTGCACCTCCATCTTGTTACCTGCTGTTCTGGTGTGCAAGGACTCCATCACACATGGCGCTGCCAGGGCATCTCGGTAGCGACCTGCAGCCCCGTTTTTCCAACTCGGGGCTCTCTTGTCGCTTTTCCTCACTCTCGACATGCATCGTCGCCTGCTCTTCAGGTCTGAGGTTTGCCAAGCAGAACCTGCCAGTTGTGCCACCTTTTGCAGTTCAGCTGAGGCCACCAAGCTCCGACGCATTTGCAAGTTGTTCCTTAGTCTC